AGCAGCATGGCAGGGGGAGATGGAGGCTCTGGGCGGGGCCCCTGCAGGGCACTCCATGTATATCAGCCCACCTGATGTGGAGAACTGAGTTGGGCAAGTCAGTTCTGCTCTTTGGGTCTGTTTTCCTGTCTGTATATTGTGTGTTTTGGAATAATCTCCAAGGTTGCTTCCAAACTGAATGCTCTTTGAGATTTATTTATACATGGAGGGACACCTTAGGAGCACCTGAAGGTCATTCCCAAGCTCTGTTCCCCTCAGGGGATTCCCCACCTTGGCTAAGCATCCAACATCATGCTGTGTCTTTTTTTTTTTTTTGGTGACAAAACTTTAAGCACACCAAGGAATTTCTTATTTAGTGTCAGTAGGTAGACTGTTTTGAGGCAGCATAGTGACTGTGTTAAAAATACAAGACCTCCTTCCCTCAGCTCATGTGCTCATTCTAGCCGACGTCGTCCTGCATACATCTAGAATCTGTGAAGTGTGATTTTCACTGCATCTTCTCTTTCATCTCAGCTGAGGTGATGGTTGTACTGTCCTCTGATTGGACTCTTTTTCTTGGGATGCTTGTCCTGGGTCACCTTCTGAGGTCCATGCTTTACAGCAGTTTCTAGAGCAGAGAGTCGTGTCTTCGAGTAAATCCATTTTTAGAGTCATTAAAGATCCAAGGTAGTGTCTAATTCAGCCCATTGTCTCCCCAGGGTTATTCTCCATCACTTTATAGACCTGGAAACTGAGGCTCAAAGAGGCTAAATCCTATGTACAAGAACGAGTGAATGTTCTGGATCCCAGACCAGTACCCTCACCATTACACTGTGCTGCCTTTATTTTTTATTTTTTATTTTTTGAGACAAAAAAAAAAATATATATATATATATATATATATGTATGTATATGTAGACCCCATACGTTGTATGGGTACTTGTACATAGTGTTATTAAACACTTCTTTAATTAGTAAAGTAAATGCCATGAATTATTATTCTGAACTATAAAGCTTCCCATTTTGATTGAACTAGAGGTGTAGAGAATATAATGCCTCACTGTGTTGCTCAGGTTGGAGTGCAGTGGTACGATCTCGGCTCACTGCAACCTCTGCCTCCCAGGTTCAAAGAATTCTCGTGCCTCAGCCTCCTGAGTAGCTGGAATTACAGGTGCGTGCCACCACACCTGGCTAACTTTTGTATTTGTAGCGGAGACGGGGTTTCACCATGTTGCCCAGGCTGATCTCGAACTCCTGGACTCAGGTGATCCCACTGCCTCAGCAACCCAAAGTGCTGGGACTACATGCATGAGCCACTGCACTTGGCTCATGTTGCCTTTAAAAACACATCTGCTTCATGCCTTAGAAGACAGCAAGAAAGTAAATAATAATAAAAATACGTAAACAATTTTACTTTAAGGCTATAGAAAGTCATGATCATGATTATAATGGCAGACGTTTAGTCTTTTCTTTGTGAATTCCTCTTTTTGGTTAGCTCAGAGGAAGCTTTAGACATAGAATGTTAGACATATTGCTTGGCTCCATTGTACACTAGATTCTTTATCTTCAGGTAGGAAAATGGACCTGGCGTTTCCTCTCTCACAGGAATATTGTGAAAATAAATGTAAAATAATGAGTTGGAATTTTCCAGGCCTTAGAATCATTCCAAGGATCAGGCATTTTGTGTAGAATTGCATTAACTCTTTTGATTTCCTGCTTGTCTTATCAGATAAGGCTTTTAATACATTTGATTTATGTATTTTTATATTCATAGTGATATGAAAGGTGCATTCTATGTTTTGACACAGTGTTCCTAGCTTCATTGGTTATTTGATATCCATGAATCTTAAAAATATTCAGATAGTGTGGGTTGGGCTACTCACGTGATTATTGAAGATGGTGATTTGAGACAGATTCAATATTAGAATTTTTAAAGTGTTATATCCCAGGATGAAGACATGGCTAGTATCCTAATGCAATGTCTGCATACATGACTGTAACAATGCCTTTGAAACTGAAAGGAAAGGCGAAAAATTGGGGAAGAGGTAGTATCTGAGCTAAGGAGTTCTTACATTATTTGCTTTTACATTTCTAGCCCTTTGTAAACCCATACGTTGGGCTGGGCACAGTGGCTTATGCCTGTAATCCCAGCACTTTGGGTGGCTGAGTCAGGCAGATCACTTGAGGCCAGGAGTTCGAGACCACCCTGGCTAACATGGCAAGACCCTGACACTATTAAAAATATAAAAATTAGCTGGGCATGGTGGCACACACCTATAATCCCAGCTACTCAGGAGGCTGAGGCACAAGAATCGTTTGAGCCTAGGAGATCAAGGCTGCAGTGAGCCAAGATCGCGCCACTGCACTCCAGCCTGGGCAACACAGTGAGGACCCTGTCTCAAAAAATAAAAATATAAAACTCCATACATTGTATGAGTACTTGTACATAGTATTATTAAACAGTTATTTAATTAGTAAAGTAAGTGTCATGAGTTACTCTTCTGAACTCTAAAGTTTCCCGTTTTAATTGAACTAGAGGTGTAGAGACTATCATGGGAAAGTTATGAGTCCCGGTAAGTCTGTAATTATGACATACTAGACTGAACATGCTGCACACCGGCAAAACACAGCAGAAACACCATTCCATAGACCTTGGTTCTCACGTGTGGTCTGCAGACCGGCTCCAGCAACATCGTCTGCTTCTGTAAATGTCCCACCCCTGACCTGCTGGATCAGAACCTACATTTTCACATCCCTGGATGATTCAGTTGCTTAAGTTTGAGAAGCACTGACTATGCAGCTGTTGTTTTTTTTTTTTTCACCTCATTGGCCCATGAGAGAATGTTAGACTGTCCTCTCTAATATGCATAAGAAAACGATCTATGAAACTGATGCTGCTGGAATTTCATCCTGTGCTGAATACAGTTCTCCTTTACTATTCCCCGTCCCGCCGAAAGTTATTTTACACGTATTGTCAGTTTGACAAAACTTAAGGTCTGTTCCACTTGGTCTGCCCCACCTGGCTTTCATAAACTTGATTGTTCCCACTTTGATTTTATGCCTGAAGATAATTTGCAATCTTACAGTTCCTGGAGTTCTTGTTTTATTTGGAAGAAATACCCTTTTGCAAATTAGTGATTGCGAGAAAAAAGTAAGACCACTAACAAAGAGCAATAATTGCTTTTTGGAGGGGCTAGCATTTAAAACTCTACAAGGGGAAATTCACTTTTTCTTCCTTTTTATTCTAAGTGGGAAGTAGTGTAAAGGAGTCTTGTTCATGTTTTAGGGGGAAAAAACAATGTAATTAAGAATTAAACTCTTGTTTATATAGCTATTTTCATCCTGAAAGTCATTTTTCTCTTTCTCAGTCTATCTAATAAATTTTGCTTGTCTTAAGAATAATTTGAACACTGCCAAGTCCTGCTATGTAAAGTTACTGAGGATTATGTCGATTTTTTTTCCTTCTCTCAAGATTTCTAATAAGCTAAGGAAAGCAAATTCAGTTACTTGGTGGCCTTGACTCTGCGTCTGGCAGGTGCACCTGCTTGCTTTTAGATCAAGGTGTGTTACTGCAGAATGTGTGATCCACAGTAGGGGGTGCCAGGGTGGTGAGGTGATGATCCTGGAGCATGAGGATTTGCTCATGGGGCACTTTCCTCTTCAGGCACAGGTGGGGCCTGCGTGAGCCTCTGCGCTGCTGCAATCTGATTCTACCTGAAGTGGTTCAGTCCTGTTGATTTCATCTAGAAAGGAAGGAAAGGATAAGGAGACTGGAATATACTAGACAGAAAAGGATTCTTTTTTTTGCAAATCCATGGGCAGAGCTATCTATCACTTGCCTCTCTGAAGGTATCCATGTTCCTTTAACCTGACAGCATTTTGTCACTGAGGCCTTTGAATGCCCACTTTAGAGAGGAAGTTAGAGAAAGCGTGTTTGTGTTTGAAACCCGCACAGGCCATCCCTCGGGGCCAGACAGGAAACAAAAGTCAGTGGTCAGGAGCCATCAGCAAGGATGGAGATGAGGGTGCCAGGGGCTTGCTAGACCCGGTGGCCTAGACAGCCAGTGTTGGGAGGTTAGGACAAGAGGAGGCTCCCTGGAGGATATAAGAAAGAGGAGATCTGAATGGAAGAGTCACATGGGAGGAGAAGGGTAGACCTACCTAGCCAGTGTCGCTAGCATGAACCAGATCCTAGAGTGAATGATGTCAGAAGAGCCCCTACTCAGAGCCCCTCCTTGTCCACCCTCCAGGAGATCAGTAGTTCTCAAAATTGGTGGTAGGGGGTGGAGGATGGGCCGAATTCAAATTGCCTAAGGAGGAACTGTTTTAGAAGACACTGTCTAGACTCCTGCCTCCTCCTCCCCGGCACACAGGTAGTACAGTCTGCATGTTAAGTACTCTACTAGTTGAATAGTTTACTAGCTGAGAGCTTGGGTCCTGAACCAACCACACTGGAGTCAGAATTCTAGCTCCTCCCTTACTAGCTGTGTGCCCTTTGCCCAGATGCTAGGCCTCTCTTACCCCCATCTCCTCATCTGTAAAATAATGATGATAGCGATCGTAACCATTACATGAGAATGTTACCAGAATTGGGGGAAATAATCTGTGCAAAATGCTTGGCACGATACATGTCATGTAAGGAAATGCTCAGTGACTATACAATTTTATTTTATGACTGGAACCTAATTTTATTCAGAAGAAAACTTTGAGATCTTGTCCAACTGTGAAAAGAAGAATAAAGTGATTAAAGTTACTTTGATTATAATTCTAGGCATTAGCCTGCCTGCAATTTAAGGATACTAGAATCATAGTACAATTCAAGCTGTTTTCATTTCATCTGAAAGGCTTGCAATGTGAGTTATGATGCATCTAAAAATGTTGTCATCCTACTTATCAGTTTATTCCAGACATAAATGTTTTTTGAAAACTTGCAGTGACAACAAATGCTCTGGGAATCAGAAAGCCACACCTTTAACTAGTTATCTTCCCCGCTTCCTTCCCCTCTTACCCCACCTGGGAAGAATTCCCTGACCAGGAGCGCACCCCTCCCCAACGACTCCCAGGCCCGCAGCGGAGCTCGTTTTCACACTTCCTATGACAAAAGATACGTCATCAAGACCATTACCAGTGAAGACGTGGCCGAAATGCACAACATCCTGAAGAAGTACCACCAGGTAATTTTTCTTGATCTTTATTTGAAACTCTGAGAAGATTACCATACATAACGATTTCTCACCAAGGCCAAAGATTTAAATATACAGTTAGAGAACAAGAAGAACACATTTCGCATAAAAATCTCCTCTAACCCAGTGTCCTAAAATTACAGTGGCCAGATTCCTGGCTGTTAACCTTTAGGCATGCTTATGCTATAAAGGTCATTCATTATCTATATAACATTTTAACCTAAATACTCTTGTGTAGTAGTTTCAGTTATCACTGCTCTGAATTTAAAATCATTCAGCTTAAGATTTGGCAACTTTTCAGAAGATTTTATCTGTGCCAGAGATTAGATATTGACCTTTGAGCATACATCCAGTTGACACCTCCAAATTCCATTTTGCTGTCACTGGTCTCTTCTGTCCTGGCCCCAGCAGGGCCAGCCCCACTCACATTCTGCTACAGAGCAAACTCTCTGATTTTAGAAGGTGAGTATTGGTCTGCTTCTCGCCCCCTTTTCATCCCTGAGCATTATGTCTTGGTAATCACTGGAGATAAAATAGACTACCCTTGGGAGCAGCAATCTCCCTCTCATGGAATAAATTCCAGCACAAGCTTCCCTGGTAGAGCACATGTTCCCAAGGCCCAGCCCGAGCTGTAAAAGGCCTCCTTTATCATGTAGTATAAGAACATGAACTCGTGTTGAACAGTCCCCCCGTCACTTACTAACCATGTGACTTCTGGACTTGGTTGTTTTTTTAGAGACGGGGTCTTGCTCTTTTGCCAGGCAGAAGTACAGTGGCGTGATCACAGCTCACTGCAGCCTCAACCGCCCAGGCTCAAGCAATCCTCCTACCCCAGCCTCCTAAGTAGCTGGGACCACAGGTATGCATCACCATGCCTGGCTAATTTTTTAAACTATGTTTTTATAGAGATGAAGTTTTGCTATGTTGCCCAGGCTGGTCTTGAACTCTTGGGCTCAAGCAGTCCTCCCATCTTGGCCTCTTGAAGTGTTAGGGTTACAGGTGTGAGCCTCCACACCTTGCCTGGACTTCAGAGCCTCAGTTTCTTTCTTTATACTATGGGGATAATAGTAATACCTAATATGGATTCTAAAGATTAAATGGGAAAATGCATGTCCAGTATTTAGCAGTGTCTGTCACACATTAGATACTCAATGTGTGGTGGTGGCCATAGCGTCACTATCATCAAGATGACATCTATGGTATAAAAATAACAACTAAGTCACCTTGAGAAATAGTCATATGGTATGAACATGTCTGCTATTGCAACACCCCAGGAATCATCTTTAGAACTAGTGTTTAAAACTCACACACACATTGTTGCTTTTAGGATCTTAGCTTGAGCTGTCATAAAAACCCGTAGACTGGGTGGTTTAAATGACAGAAATGTATTTCTTACAGTTCTGGAGGCTGGAAGTCTGAGGTCAGGATGCCAGTATGGTCGGGTTCTTCCTGGTTTGCAGACAGCCAGCTTCCCAGTGTATCCTCATGTGTGTTGATAGTGGCAGAGTGGGTGGGACAGGATCGAAAGCACTCTTCTGTCACTTCTAATAAGGGCACTGATCCGACAATGAGGGTGCTAACCTCATGACCTAACTACCTCTCAGAGGCCCCACTGCCTAATACTGTCACTTGGGGATCAGGGTTTCAACATAAGCATTTTGGGGGACACAAACTTCCATTCTTAGCGGAATCACACTGTGTTTTTAACTTAAATAGCTCCCGCTCCCCGAAAGGTAAAAATTGGTTGTCACAAAGAGTATTCAAAATAAAATGCTGCAGGCCCTGACTGCATTAATAAAAGGATTCTCAGAGTGTAAACAATCACACTTATTAAGTATCTGCTTTGAAGGCAGCACTGGTCTGGACTTGTGAGCTCCTAGACGTCTGTTTAAACATCCCTCTAAAAGCGTTACTTTACGGTCATGCGTGATGCTCTGATATCGTGGATTCTTCCTTGGCAGTTGCCTATTCTTGCAGTCTTTGAAAATATGATCAGTTGCATTTTGCTTGCAATGAAGTCTGTAAAAACCTTTGAGCAGTATTCTGTTTCTTGAAACTTGGTACCGCCTCTAATTTGTTTTCTAAAATCGTTAGCCTCTAAATTCACTTAATATCTAATAAATCTTTTATAATAGGTATTCCTTTTGAAATTTGTTCTACTGCTTATGCTGCTGTCTCTTATTCTAAAGGAAATTTTAAAGTGGCAGGACGGTACCTGTGAGGGAGAAGACATGAGGCTCTGTTATTTAAATGAATTACAGGTTGCAGCTTTTAACTCTTCACCTTTTAAACTGTCTACTCTTTCATTTGTTTCCCCTCTGGAAATTGATGTCAGGCTCATACATTCTTTTTATACTTTCTTTCAGTTGCCTCAGAACATTCAAAGCAAAGTGATACCTCATGACGGATGAAAACATATTGTTCTGATAAGTGGCTGTGATACCATGCTAATAAAATGTGACACACAATTGAAGTATCAACTTCTTGATGACAACATTGAGTTTAGCATCCTTTGACTTTATAAAAATCACAATTTGAGATGTTTTCTCTGGGGTAGTTACTATAACCTAACACAGGGATTTGACATATCTCCAGTGTTACATGAAATAAATGTGGGATCAAAATAAGTCTATTGACACCTCCCAGGAGCTTTAACAGTATAAAGACTTCCGTTTGTTCCAGTGCTACAAAACTGTTGTCTTCTTGGTGTTTTCTTTATTCAGAAAAGTCTCCTTTATCCAACATCTATATTTTTTTTCTTTTTACAAACAGAATATTTTAAATATAATTTGCAGGGTCTTAGTGACTGCGAATCACATTATTAATATAAATTATTTAAAGGGCACTAAGTTGAAGTCAGGAGACAGAGATCCTAACCTGTTATGAACTGCCTCTTGGATGATCTCTGAACTCAGCTTCTGTACCTGCATTTCATTCATTCATTCATTCATTCATTCATTCATTCATTTATTCGTGTATTCACTCTTGACCTTATTCCAGAAAGGATTTAAGGTGGCCTTCAAAGAAGTTGGAAATACAAGATAGAATAAATGAAAAAAAGAAAAGGAAGAGGCAGAAAGATAAAGGCACAAAATGGAGCCTGGAATGAGCATAGACATTCATGTCAAGATGACCAGCATGCTTGATACTTTGAGTCTGTTGCCAAGGAAAAATGTAAGTGGTCTTGGTACTAAGAGCCGACAGAGTTGACTCTAAGGAGTTCCCCACAGGGAAGACACAGGACACCTGACCTGATAAAACAACATCCTTGCTACAACCTGAGACACATACAAGAATGCCAGAGAACTTTAAAAAATTATCCATATAGGCTGCTAATTAGCAATGCAGGCCATGTATAAATACAGCCACAGTCGCCGCACCATTTGTTTTGGTTTCTGGTTTTGCCAATTTGTCCATTTTAAAATTACATTTAAAAAAAGGACAAGGAAATGTATGGGTGACACAAACGTTGACCATTGAGGATGAACATGCCACTTGTGTACATCTCAGCAAAATCTCATATAGAAGAGGTTTTTAAAAATACAGCAAGAGTGAAGAGTAACCGTGTTAATTCCATGATCAGAGAATTCCACAGAAACCTCATAAAAGGCTTATCGTCCACACAGCTTATCTGATACTGACCTGTTCAGGGTGACTCCTGCCAGGCTCACTGAGGGCAGGGCCGGGACCTCACTTAGGTTGGCGGAATTCCTGAAGGAAGTTCAGGTCCGCCGAGTCATCAAACACCACACCTGCAGCAGTTAGCAGAGGCCACACCAACGTGTATTGTACATTTAGTAAATGCTGTTCTGCAGAGAAAGGCTACAGTGCACACTGGCTGCCTAGCCCTTTGCCAACCTGGCTTCTATTGGAATGTTCTTCAGGCTGTTCTCGTATGCCACTTCCTTACAGGGTTTTAATGAACATTACAGGGTAGCTAGCTCAGCCTGGCACGCCCTCGTGTGGTTCTGTGTGACCGGACATAGGCCTCTCATTGATAACCCCAGGGAGGCCTATCAAGCTTTGTCTTCCTCTCCCTAGGGTCTGAGATGCTCAGAGGTGTTTGAGGTATGTGTCAGGCCTTCATCCCACTTTATGTGGGCCTAGAGTACTTTTAGGGTTTATCCTGGAAACTTTCCGTCTCCTGCTTCAGTAGTGATCATCAGTTCCTACTTCTTTCTCCTTGCTTGTTGTTGCTCTTACCTTGGAATTCTCTGGGCTTCTGAACTTTCCAAGTCTGGACAAGTAATGCAGCTTGTTCAGTTGTGTATCAGGCATTGAGAAGTTCTCATAGAGGGTTTCTCCTGTAGCATGAATTGCATGGACTTTCTGACAGCTTTGGTTACCCTACAGCCCTTTTTTTTTTCTCTTTTCCTTGGTTTTTGTTTTAATGCAATGCAGCCACAGTTGCAACTATATTCTGGAGGGTTAAAATTACCCCAGGGCCAGCCTCTGGAAAAGTAGAACATTGCTAGTTATTTGAATGTTTGAATACATTCTTCCAGAGATTAATTTTCTGACAAACCACCCTTCCCAGCAGTGTGGTGCGGCAAGTGTTTCAAGAACAAGGACTTGGAGCCAGCTAGCCACTTTGCAGTCCCAGCCATGTCCCTGGCCAGTGGCATGACCTTGGGCAAGGCACCTGCACTCCTCTTGGCCTATAATGTTTGGATAATAGTACCCCCTTCCTTTGGGTGTTGTGTTAATTAGGTGAATTCATATTTATAACATGCTCAGAGCAATGTCTGGTATATAAGAAGTACTAAATGGGCCAGGCGTGGTGGCTCACACCTGTAATCCCAGCACTTCAGGAGGCTGAGGCGGGTGGATCATCTGAGGTCTGGAGTTCAAGACCAGCCTGGCCAACATGATGACACCTCATCTCTATCAAAAATACAAAAAAGAAAAAATTAGCTGGGCCTGGTGGTGCATGCCTGTTGTCCTAGGTACTCGGGAGACTGAGGCATGAGAATCGCTTCAACCCGGGAAGT